GGCCTCCCGATAGTAAAGTCTGTGAAAGCCGGCACAGCCAAGTGCTTGATTAGTATCCTTCAACGCAGCCGTTAGGAGTCCTTCAGCAGCACTCTACCGGTTTGGGATCTACTCTTCTTATTACCACTTCTGGCAATGTGATCGTGTCGGGGATAATCCTAGCCGATTTCGGACAACGATCGTATCACAGTCGTCTTATAGACCAGTTTTTCTATAATTGGAAGCATCAGTTATTTGGTTATGCCGATGGTATGCAAGTTCCCACATTATTTGAGGAATCACATTAGCCCCCTAGTGTATTTGAACCTGGAACCTGTGATACAGACCTATGGCACTCTAACCACTGAGCTACAGACCCATAGGTCCTTTTAATAGTATTGTTACTAAAGAAATAATTCCATTTTCATAACAAAATTTAGAGAAAATGAAGAAATTAATTGATTAATTATTGTATAATTATAAAGATATTATTGATATAAATAATTATATTGAAATTGATGATTCATTTGTAAATTTAAATATTACAAATGAAGATATTATCAATTCAGTTCAACAGAAAAAGGTAAAACCTGATACAACAATTAAATGCATCAATACACTTTTATATTTTATTGAACAAGATTCTAAATTATATTTAGATGATAATTATATGAATGTTCTTATTTCAATGCAACAAAAATTTTTAGAGAATTATAAATCTTAAATTTTTTATTTTAGGTTAAACTTTTTATATATATTATATTATATGTATGCTTATTTATATAAATTAACTAAATAAATCAAATATTATATTTAAGTTATAAATATACAGAAATTTTTAAATAATTAAATTATTTTATAATTAATTTATGATAATTGGTGCATATAAAACTTTTAATTTTACTAGCTAAATTAACTTTGGTACATTAAGTAAATATATTTATAATATTTAAATCTACATTCAGTAAAATTTTCGTTAAATTTGAATGAAATTTTAATATTTTATTTAACAATTTGTATTTATTTAAAATTACATATTATTTTATAATAATTTCACTAAAATTAAAAAAAAATTTAATTATAGATAGAATTCATTATAATAAATATATCTACTTAATCTATTAATATCAATTTATATATTAAAATAAAAACTTTTACAAGAAATTATAATTCTAAATTTATGATAATAATTTTAAATTTTCATTTTTTTCAATAGTAATTTTATTTATCAAATAATCTTTTAAATATTTAATATAAATTTATTTAATTTAATATATAAATAATTAAAAAACTAATAAACAATATTAATTAATTATAGATTACTTGTTAAAACATTGGTTATAGAAATAATATGAATATAATAATTAAAATTAAAATTAAAAAAATTGCCGCACGAAATGTAAACCCTAAACGCTAATAATAAAATGTAGTTATAAATTGGTTAAACTTTCACTGTATACGTATTTTGTTGTCTAGATTATACTTACTTAATATACAAAACCATATATGCCTAATAAAATATAAAGTTTATTATGTAGAAACTTTTTACGTTTAAAAAAATTTCGGATTTTTTCGAAAACCCCCCGTGATTTTTTTATCGAGTAAACCGGGACCCGGAAAATTTTCGATGATCGTAACTACCGTACTTATCACGTACAAACTTGGAAATTTCAATCGAATAGCCGTTAATGTTGATTTTTTCCCTTATTTAGACACATTGATGTTTACTTAAGATGCTCATCATCACCATTATGTGCATTAAAGTTATACGGTATTCTGATATTCAGCCAATGATTTAATGATCTTAAATAACCGACATCGTTTCAATCAGGTGTGAGGTTTGTTTGTAAAAAATTTCCTTGAGGTTCGCACGCAAGATAAAAAGTGTTATATCATATAAAAGACTATTTCTAATACTTCTCACGTGGTATGTTTGAAACTGAATTGATTTTTGACGACTCAAAATGAAATCCACAGAAAAAGAACATATCGGCAAATAATATTTTGCGATAGTAGTATCAATAAACCGGGAAAAATTATGTGCGTTGAAAATAATTTAACGAGTGAATATAAAAGTCTCATTCTCTGATAGAATTTTCCTTGGCTCCTACAAATAAAAAGGAAATTCAAAAATTTGTAAATATTTCATTCCTGCTAACAGTTTGTCACAGGAAAAACGTTCATTTAAACAAGAGATTCGAGTCGCTTAAATGTAAATTCCAAAAAATTTTGTCACATAAACCATCATGTGACCGTGTATGTGTGAATATTTTCAAAAAATAGATATTGTAAATTATATTTTAATAAACATTATCGCCAATCAAAGATACCAAAACGATTCATTTTACTCATACCTTAAATAAAAAAAAAAAAAGAAAATCAAGGTTTATATTTAGACTTAACTGCATTTGTTAAAAACATGCCAAGATTTTTAGTGAAAGATTCGACCGCCTCTTTGATATTTGTGATAAATAAGATTAAGGACAACATTTTCATAATTGAAATCAATATTGTAGCATAATAATGAGTATAATATTATAAAAGCCAGTATATAATTTTTTATTTAACTTTTATTGATTAATCAAGAACTCTTGTGAGGTAGATTATCATGTTAAATAATTCTGGTTGACACTTTCAAAAGTCCTTTTACACAATCTCCGGAGTTTTATTAATAATATTTCAAACAATCAAGTGAAGATTTAAATTTACTAATGATATTTCAAATAAAATATATTAAAATAAAGTTATTGGTATAAAATGTTATTAGTGAGTTTTAGATATTTTAAAAAGTTCACTAATGAACAAAATTGTCAAACTTTACATATAACTTATACTGTATATCATATGAAAACTTCAGACCATACAACCGTTTTTTATGATTGGTAATCTAATGGGAAATAAATTGAATCATTCAGATATTGCTCGTGAGTTTCAGGAAATTGATATGAAGGTTGCATGTAGAATTGGATGTGGGATTGGGAAAAATTCTGCACGAAATGTATAGGAAGTTGGACTTGAGCTTGTTCGATAGATACAGGAAGCTGGTTCGGATATTGGTGTGTGTTATTAAAGGCTATGGGCTGTGTTATAATGTATGGTATTTTATCGTTCGGAATAATCGGTTTAGATTCTTGATTGTTCGGAGTCACCACGGGACTTGTATGATTGTATGGTTCCGAATAAAGTAGTAAATTGTTCATCTCTTCGCTATTAGGATATTGACTTGAAATAATAGCATCAGATGTTTCATTACTATTAATAGAGTATTTTACCAGGAGAGGATCCTTAAGTTTGTTGGTTTGATTTTCAGTAAAATTAAGAGTGTCGATGCTTATTGGAAAATCATTTTCTTTTTTCTTTTCCTTAGCGTAATGTTGAAATATCTTCCTTCTTATTCGCGTTTCGTTTTTCCACATTACATATATTTGTTTCTTTTTTATTCCTTTATTCTCACGGAGCTTGACAAGTTCATAATAATAGAAGGCGTTTCGGGATTCTACAAGGAATTTCCGTTAATACTTATGAGTTATTGATTCATGCGGTCTTCCGATAAGTTGAATACTTGCTTTTTTGCTTCTGGTTTTTACCACATTTATCATAGTACCGAAAATTGTCTTTTTGGTTAGAAACCCCGTTTCGACTATCCGTCGTCATTTTCTGACGCAAATTAGAGAATTTGAAAGAAAATTTTTTTCTCAGAAGCTAAATTTAAGGCACTGACTTTTCTATGAAAAAGGATCTTATTGTACACAAGAATATAATACTCGTAATGGTGTAACTTTGATGATAACGACACTCTGCATTTCAAAATTTCCTATTACGCCAATCCTCGTTTATAACGATTTGAATTATCCGATAGCGCATTCCCGTATTTTACAGATCTGAAGACCGAAGGTTTCACTCCAAATTTTTAATATGTAACATTAAATTTTCCTAGATAGACTTTAAGTACGACATAAACAACACAATTTAAGAATGGATTTAACGCTACCCAAAGTTTTCATCATCTTAGAATACTACAGTCAATCCTCTCTAAATGCAGTCCGCTTGCGATCTATACAAAAACCTGAATTTGAGAGAGAAAATATAATATCTGCTAAATTTGGGATGCGTGCCCGTAGGGGAAAAATTGTGTGCTTGCGCATCGAATAAACATATTTGTGTATCACATACCTAAACAAAAGATTGCCAAATATGTAAAAATTGCATGCTTGTATCAGTGTTTATAGTTTTTTCACATCGTGCGCATCAAATAAACATATTTGTGTATCACATACCTAAACAAAAGATTGCCTAATATGTACAAGTTATGAACTGTAATACAGCATTCAGGTTTGAACTTCACAAAATAATTATAAAAAATCTGATATGTCATATTTTTTATTCTTACTGTTTATAAATATATTTTATTTACTGTATCATTTGATATATATTATATGTTGTTACACTTGATTTTCATCCAAGATTACCATTACCCCTTGTCCAATTTTCACTAATATTTATCTTTGAAATATTGCCTATTCTAGAATAATCCTTATATTATTATTCTTGTTATTTTATAGTACTGTACTTTTTGTGTTATTGTTGTTTTAGAATATTTCATATTTTATTTATTTATCTTTATTCTTTTATTTTTGTTAGAACATTTGTTTTTATGCTAACATATATAGATAACTGTTTTAACAAATATAATACTTTTTTTATCTCTTTTACTTTCTATAACTTATAATTATTATATACAAATTAATATAACTCAAACATATATATAAAGTTTCCAATTTTGCCTAGGAATTGGCAGGCTCGAACTTATATTTTATCAAATAAATATCTTGACCTTTATAAAACAAATTATTATTGTTTCTTTTATTTGATCTCATATATCTCAGAATTGTACTAATTTGTATGTCTCTAGGAACTTTAACATATCATATTGGCTTTTACTATCTAAAGTACCTCCTGTTACTAATTCTTTGTCTTTATCTTTTTCCTAAAATAAAAATAATATATGACAATATATAGTATATTGCTTTTAATAATATTATATTTTAGATTATTTGTTAATATTTAATTTCAATATTCTTATTAATAAGTCTTATAAATTTGTATATAATCTTTTAATTCTTAATTTCAAATTAGGATAATTAGAATATAAAATTGATATTATTATTATTATTATTATTATTTTAAATGGAAAAATAATATCATTTTATTAAATTATAAAATTAAAAAATTATTATAAAAAGAAAATAATAACATCTCTTATATAATCAATTGATCAGTAAGTTTAATGCTAGCTCACCTACTATTTATAATTATCTAAGTATTAAAGAAAACAAATATTGAACTATTATATATCTAAAATGATACTAAGTAGCTAAGGTTTTTATTTAGAAATGTTGATAAAAAAACAATTTGATTTGATATATATTAATAATTAATAAATAACTCTTTATATTACAACTTCAGTTCACATGGCTATAAGTTCAAAAAGAATTTAAATATAGATATATATTTTTTAATAAATGCTTTGAAACTGTAATCTTTGGTTGGCACAAATTACCAAATCTAGGAGCTATATGGCCAAGTAAGGCATAACTCCAAAATCTTCTAATAGACATTGCAAAGAATTTGATTGGCTTAAACAGCCAAATCTAGAGACAAAAATACCAAATAGAATACAACTTCAACATATATAATGTTTTATTTTTTTATTTTTTTATTTTTTTTTAAGTTGGCTAAGGGCATTAGATGCGAGACATTTATTGAATATTATTCATTGTCATTACATCAAACATCTTTACAAAGTAGGCTATTGCTATCCTAAATGTAA